TGATAGTGAGTGATTGTGACAGGATGTTGGGGTGAGTGTGATAGTGAGCAATTGTGACAGGGTGTTGGGGTGAGTGTGATAGAGAGTGATTGTGACAGGATGTTGGGGTGAGTGTGAAAGTGAGCGATTGTGACAGGATGATGGGTGAGTTTGATAGTGAGTGATTGTGACAGGATGTTGGGGTGAGTGTGAAAGTGAGTGATTGTGACAGGATGTTGGGGTGAGTGTGAAAGTGAGTGATTGTGACAGGATGTTGGGGTGAGTGTGAAAGTGAGTGATTGTAACAGGATGTTGGGGTGAGTGTGAAAGTGAGTGATTGTAACAGGATGGTGGGGAGAGTGTGATAGTGAGTGATTGTGACAGGATGGTGGGGAAGTGTGAAAGTGAGTGATTGTGACAGGATGTTGGGGTGAGTGTGAAAGTGATTGTGACAGGATGATGGGGTGAGTGTGATAGTGAGTGATTATGACAGGATGTTGGGGTGAGTGTGAAAGTGAGCGATTGTGACAGGATGTTGGGGTGAGTGTCATAGTGAGCGATTGTTACAGGATGTTGGGGGTGAGTGTGAAAGTGAGTGAGTGTGACAGGATGTTGGGGTGAGTGTGATAGTGAGCAATTGTGACAAGATGTTGGGGTGAGTGTGACAGTGAGTGATTGTGACAGGATGTTGGGGTGAGTGTGAAGGTGAGTGACTGTGACAGGATGTTGGGCATGAGTGGGATAGTGAGTGAGTGTGACAGGATGTTGGGCATGAGTGGGATAGTGAGTGAGTGTGACAGGATGTTGGGGGAGTGTGAAAGTGAGTGATTGTGACAGGATGTTGGGGGAGTGTGAAAGTGAGTGATTGTGACAGGATGTTGGGGGTGAATGTGATAGGACTGGATGGTGAATGATTGCTCCGAAACCGCTAGGGAGTGCAGCTGCACCATGGACCTCCAGGAAATAATTTAATTAATGGCTGCTCGAGGTGGGCCCAATTAAAGCTCAGTCCGGTTCTTGTGTGGTGCCCCCTTCAAGTGGCGCCTAGAGCATATGCCATTCCTGCCATAACCTAGGTTCGCCAATGGTTGGAGTACAGGGCTTATTTCTGTGTTGGTTTTACGCAACCGTTTAACCTACTTTAGTATAACCAACACATTGCTGTATGTGTAGGTGTGTGTGCGCATGCTTTCATACAGCACTGCTCTGTCAATACCTATGTGTGCATGATCCCCAGTAGCACTTCAATAACATTTGCTTAGCTGACAAAATGAAGAATTGTTAGTATACACTTTTAATACACATCTTTTTGCTCTCCAAAACAAAATTCAAAAGGCATGGAGAGCCCAACTCTTGATTTTCAGTGGGTTTGAAAAAGCTCTCCAAAAGCTCTTTGAGTGCCTAGACATCTTTCTTTCTTTAGACAAGAAGGTACTGGCTGACCAACTGGACATTGTGGTGGAAGACCAAGATCAGTGGGGGTGGATGTGGCACTACCCAGTGACCACAACATGAAGAAAAAAGGATATGAGAAGGTAAACAAATTCCAAGGGCTGAAAGAGGAGCCAGAAAGAATGTGGAAAATAAAGACATTACCAATCCCAGTTATGATAACTGTAACCCCAAGTTAAAAGAGTGGCTTCAGCAGAGTCCAGAAGAATGCAGTTCTAGGAACAGCTAAGATACTGCTCAGAAATCTCAGACTGGTAAAGGACAAGAGAATAACGAATACACAAAATACCACCAGGAAGGACAAGAAAGCACCGTTATATTTGATTATTTATGAATATACATGTGTTTTTGTATGTGTAAATGTAGAAAGTAATCCAGGCACTCCAAAGTGTTCCAAAAGAGAGGCAATTTTTATTGGACCCAAGAACCAAAATACAACATTTTGACCCCTTAAGGCCTTTGTCAAGGGGTCGAAACGTTGTATTTTGGTTCTTGGGTCCAAACAATTGCCTATCTTTTGGAACACTTTGGAGTGCCTGGATTACTTTCTACATTTAAGCTATACATTTGGTCCTTTGGTACAGGGACTGATCCGGTCAGCACCCAATGATTCCAGGGTTTGAGTGCAGTTCCACTACCTATACATGGATGTTTGTGTATGTGTGTCAGAGAATGATTAATATAATAAAAATCAGTGACAGCTACAGCCAGGGCCGGCCTTAGGCCTTTAGGCGCCCTGTGCAAAAAATATTCACAGCGCCCCTCCATGGTCACATGCCCTCATCCATCTTGTAAAAAGTCCATTACATAGGTGTTACGTATTAACGTGATTTCTGGACATATCATACATATACACGTATATTAATACATTTGTAAATATTATAGGTGTAATAAAACATATAATAATAATAATAATACACCCATATTAATATACATGTATATTTAAATATTACTCTCAGAAATCATGAGCAGAAAATTATATATATATGGGCTAGAAGAATTCCTCCCACGTGTATAGATTTGGGAAAAACAAACCTATGTGAAGGAACACTCAAGCATTAGGAGTAAAAACACATTTCTAACAAGAGTGTCCTGACTCCCTGAAATTGCCATGCCATTATGTTGTGTGTGGAATAGGGATGTAGCGTGTTTGTGTGTGTAGGTTAGGTAATGTGTGTGTGTGTAGGTTAGGTAATGTGTGTGTGTGTAAAGGGGATGTAGTGTGTATGTGTGTAGGAAACAGTGTGTGCATAGGGTATATAGTGTGTATGTGTTTAGGGAACATAGTGTGTGTGTGTGTAGTGTGTATGGGTGCAAGTTACGTAGTGTGTATATATAGGGAGCATAGTGTGTCTGTACATTTTGTAGTGTTTGTGAGATATCTAGTGTGTATGTGTGTAGAGAACAAAGTGTGTTTATAGGGAGCGTTGTGTGTGAGTAGATTATGTAATGTGTGAGTAGATTATGTGGTGTGCGTGTGAGTGTGTGGATTATATAGTGTTTATGTGAGTAGATTATGTAGTGTGCGTGTGTGTGTGTGTGAGTAGATTATGTAGTGTGTGTATAGGGGATGTTGTGTGTGAGTAGATTATGTAGTGTGCGTGCGTGAGTAGATTATGTAGTGTGTGTATGTGTGTGTGTGTGTTATGGAGTGTGTGTAGGTAACACAGTAAGGGTGGGATAGTGATGATTTGTGGGTAGGAGGGGGTGACATAAGGCTTTAAATGAGGAGATGGGAGAGCAATTTCAGGTTTTGTTTTCTTAAAATTAATTAATGTTGATTCCCCCCTTCTGCCCCCCTCGTTCTTGCATACCTTTGGGCAGGGATGGGGGAATACTGATGACCTGGTGGTCCAGCGGTCTCTGCCAGTCCTTTCAGAACACGAGCCCTCCTCTAGCAAGCTCTGCGTTGATAGTATGAGAGCGTTGCCACGGCAACACTCTGAATGCCAAGCTCGCGAGAGGAGAGCAGATTTAAAGCGCTCAATGCTCGCTCCCATCATCCAAACAGCGGGCCAGTGAGGGAGGTCCTCAATCTACTCACCAGCCAATACCAAAGCAGAGCACACTCTGGGTTGGCCGGCTGGGGCGCAATCTTTCACCCACCAGGGCGCTCTGAGGTAGGGCAGGACCTGGTTGTGCGAGCTGTGTTGGTTGCCCGGCGCCCCTGTTGGCATGGCGCCCTGTGCGGCCGCACAGCTCGCACACCCCTAAGGCCGGCCCTGGCTACAGCTTTCTAATTTAATTTACCAAAACGGAGTACATGGTGGTGATGAGTTCCAAGCCGTAACTTGATCATCTGAAACAGTTAAACGACTGAGAGAAAAAAGATTTACAGTCCATTTTCTTCAGACAAAAGTTCTAGAGTAAATTGTTTCCTTATTAATTCATCCCACTTCACACAGGCTGACTTTGTTACGGCGTTTAGATCAGTATTTTTATTTATTTCGCGCAAACTGCCTTGACATTCACTTTTTCACCCTGATCTTTCCTTTCATTTCAAAATGCTTTGGGCATGTTCTAGTTTGGAAACAATACTGAAGTGAGAACATATTTGGAGGGTGTTTGAAAAATAATAAGGCTTATTTCTCTTCCTAACATTCCACTTGCTACACGCAACCATTACTCCTAAAATAATGCTAATTTAAACACGCTCCTAATTATCACCTACTGCGGCAGATGACAATGCTTGTATTTCTTTACTCTTTTATTAATTTTAGTCAATGTTGTTTAAGAGGAACCTGTGCCATTTTCCTTTTATTGTCCCGCTGAACTCACATGATGCTTTGCCAGCTCAGAGATTTCTGTTCTACTACAGCTTATGCTAACTAACCTGAAGCCCTAAATATGGCTGACTTAGCGAGGAGGTTCTCTGGGTTCCTCTCTGGGAGCATGGCCAATGGGCTGGTGAAGGAGATCTTTGATGTCCCCACTGTCCCATAAAGGCACCCCTCTACATGGGCCAGTAATGCACATTTTAAGGTAGTGCTACTGGCCCTGAATAGAGGGAATAAAAAGATCCAGGCTAGAGAGCCCTACATTCGTGGCTCATGCCACCCAGACCCTTTCCGTTGACATCCCTGACAGAGATAGAATGAAATGGAGTATCATAGCCCATATAGCGACCATTGTTTACTGTCCTGATTAGCACCTTTATCCTGATAACCCGTACAGATATTCAAAACCTCATATTGACAAAACATAAGTAAGGCAAGTGGGTCATCAGTTAGTTATACAGTTAATATATATCTATATGCATGGATTGCATGATTTCATTAAAATTATGGATTTCTAAAAAAAAAAAAAAAAAAGGAATAAATGTGCCTCAAATACTAATGATGGGGCAGGTAGTGGGTGAAGGCAAAGGTGTCTGCAGAAAAATGTCTAACTCAAAGCAACTACAAATTCTTCACTCTTGCCCTATGGTGTGGATACCGATGCCCTTGGTTATAGTCACCATCAACCAAAACCTACCTCTACTTTCTTGGGGGCATGTGTGGCAGCACATAGAATAACACAGCATGAACATCTGCAGAAGAAACTAAGACATCCTCTGGGACTGTTTGTCTTGGGTAGATGCAAATGTGTACTCTAATGGTCAGATCCATTTACTGGATGGGGTCAGGAAGCTAAGGAACCATTCCACAGGTCAGGACTAGTGGCAAAAACCTGTTCGGGCAAACAACATTAAATGGGAATACTGGGTGCAAAGAATACCATGTAGGACAATTCCAGCAAAAGGCACTGGAATTAATCTAATTGTCATGGATAACACATCACTGTACAGCTCACTGAACTGTGTAGGTCAGGGTTCAAATTTTCCACTTTTCCACTAGCCATTGGCGAGTGCAAATTCACCTGGAGAGCATAAATTCTCCAGGTTATGTTATGTGTTATGGATCCTCCAGTCTTGGCTTGGATAGTAGTGTAGCCATCGAAATGGTGATCCTGGCTGTACATGCCACAGACAGAGCTACCTTGGCACTGTCTTATGGTTTTAGAAGTGCACACACCATTTCTTTGATTACTTTGATGTTTGGATACCCGCACTGGGCTGTTATGTCCCAAAGGTGGGAGCAAGGCCTTCTTGCGAAGCCGTAGGAAAAGCTTAAGACAATAGGCATGTCCCGAGACAGCAGGTAAATGGCATCCCCGTGCATTGTGACAATGGCAATGGCCATCTGAGGACTTCTTTTCTGTTTCTATACTGAGCTCTACTAAGAAAAAAAAGCTTTGTAGTAAGTGATAAACACTATAAAAACTGCATGGATTGAGTTATCATTTTCAACTGTCTGAAATGAAACGATGGCTCTAAGTGGCTCCGATGGGACGAGAATAGCAACATTTTCCCATTTCTTAAATGCTCAGAGGTATGAAATATTTTATTCCCTGGTTAACCGGGGTAACATGAATTTATATTCACTCTGCAAATGTGGAAAAGGAAATGTACATTCAGACTGTCTTATGAGATTCTCTGTTTAATCATGTTCTCTGTTAAGAAATTGCCGTGCTGGTTGCAACCCAGATTTTGCATACATTTTCAGCTGTAATTAATATGTGATATAAATGAACCCTTGGCTGTTCCCTTCTATGGATCCCGTGTGGTATTAGTGTCCCAGCCGCAGGCCAAACATTCATTTCACAGTAGTGAGAAACCCACGGGCTGCTCTCCAATTAATCACAGGTAAACCAGGGGGAGCCAGGATTCCTTCCTTTGCTCCAACACAGGCAAGTGCACTGCAGCAATTAAACCCAACCGGCTGATTTCTTTTCCTGATGTGCATGTATGGAGATTTTGTATGTTCTTGATATAATCTTAAATGCTTGGAATAATGATACCATCAGTGGAAGCTGGTCGATAGGAACAGGTGGGGCTACAACCCACAGCTTTGGTGGCAAAATAAATAAATCTAAGGGCTACTTATAAGTGTTAAAATAAAATATGTCTGCCATAATTATATCTGCAGTTTCCTTTCTCTCCTTTATTGATTACTGGAGATGCAAATGGTTTTGGGATTAAATAAGAGTTGGGGGAAACCACAAAGTGTTATTAAGAAACGTACTGACAATTTGGGATGGAACACCAACACAGAGAAAATCCTCCCCTGCTTTATTAGCGTACACTGGTCCTGGGGACCCCTGACCATTCTTTGTTCAAAAACCACAAAGCTGTTGAAGCAGAAGGGGCAGAGGGGGGCACACTGCTGCCCCCTACTGTACATTTATAAATGCACTCCTTTGGTAATTGGGGGATGGTGCATTTGGCTGATTAACCCCTATTGCAAATAGGTGTATAATGCCTCTCTAGCCTATGTTGTGAGTCAGAAAGGAGAGACGTTGATTTTTTTTTTAACTGTATGTATTCCAGTACAGTGATGCCAGTGTCTCACTTAACAGTATTTATATATTTATTTTTATATTTCCCAAGAAACACTTTATTTCAGGTGATTTGATTTTAATACAGATTCATACCAGCAATGGGCGCTGTGTTAGGTTGAATGTAGTCAGCTGACACTCGCAGCCAATCACAGTCGTCCATTACTGCTTAGCCTAATGCTTCCTCATTAGCCCACACAGCACAGAGGGGATGGACTACTGGTTACTTTTGTTTAGCATTAAAACAAATATGTATTCCTGACCCTCAGTGTCAAAATCACTATCTAGTCACCCCCTTTACCCACTAAATATAGTAAAATCTCACCTTTATTTCAGTGTCGTGTGGGTCTGCTGGTGTTAGCTCCGCCACTGTCCGACTCCTTGGTTGACATCATCAGAAGTGATGATACTGAGCCAATGCTTTCCTATGGCAAAGCATTGTGATTGGCTGAATTTGTCAATTCTAATGCCCTCAGCCAAAGAGGCAGAACGGGTGGGCGGAGCCAAACGCCATCCTGGCCAATCAGTTTGGAGGAATGCAAACCAAGGGGTGAGCTGGTCTCTTTTAGGCATAACCTTACCTGTTGCTCCCCAAGGCCACCAGGGGCATGACCCCAAAGCATCGTCCACACAGATGGAGGGCCACTGGTGCCTCGAAACCATCAGGGCCTTCCGTGTTTCCCACTATGGGATGGACTGGAACTTTTGGATCTTCTACCTCTGCGGCTCAAAGATGCCGACCTCCACATGGAACCAGGCTGGAAGGATGCTCTAACTCACTCACGCTATACCTCTACTTTTGCAGGCCCCCTTTGGAAGCCAGTGCACATTCCAAGCATGGGAATCAGGTGAAGGCTGATCAGGTACTCTCTCCGGCTCTATAACCTAGCCCTGATCTGCTATGTAATGGCTATCACTAAGCTCCAATGTAACTGTTTTTTTTTTTGCATTTAACATGTTGTCTTTTTATTTTTATGTTCTTTTTTTTATGCCAGTGGTTACACTAATGTCATAAGTAACATCAATAACAAATATGATTAATCTGCTATATATATGGTCCTGTTAGTATATTAGTTTAACATTTCTGTTCTTAAACTTTACTCGATACAACTCGTAAGTCTTAGGTTTAGACCTATAGTGCAGCCTGTTTAAAAAAATAAATAAAAATGAAAGATAAAGTGCAATTCTCTCTTGCGCCATGACACTGTATCCATAAGTATGATTACAATATGCTTGCCAATGTCATTGTGGCAAAATGAAAATAAAGAATTAAAAAAAGAAAGACACGTTTTAGTTTATTTTCCTTTCACACATTCTGTTTGTTTACATATGTACCCATTGATACAATCCCTACCATCCCTGTGTGGCACCGCAATGCCCAACTAAATTATTACAGGGTTATTAACTAAAGTGAGAACTGTTGGGAATTCAAAGAGAAATTAAAATTTAAAGAATAAATCACCAAAGTGGAAAAATTCTCAGAGTCAGGTTATGTTTCCAACTTGGCTATTTTGGCCTTGGTCTCACTTTATTAAATAACCCTGTATATATCACACACATTGTACATGAGACTACGAGACTCATTATATGACAATGTTGCTGTGGGAAGCTGGTGAACTTGTTGCCATAGTTACTACCAGTGTTCCATTTCCTTCAAAAGGTTGAAGCCAGCCACGTGTACTAACTGTGTATATTATTTATACATTGTGCTGTCACTTTGGAAGTTCGAAATACCGAATAATAAAAAAAAAAAATCTATTTAACAAACCATGGGGCATCAACACCCAAATACAATGAGCGGTAGTGGTTATGGTGCGAAGAGTGTTCCTCAAAGAATAAAAGTAGCAGCCAGAGAGCCACAGGCATGCTAATTTATGGTAGGTAGCTCTGTAATGTTTCAACACAATGTTGACTGTCAGGAATCAAATAGAGTTGGTTGAGATTTAAAAGTTTACACAGTGAGTCAATTGTCATTAATGGAAGATTCCAAGCACCATAAACACTAGAGCCCATTGTAGTGGTTATGGTGCCCCCAGGTGCTTGCACTTACAAGAGAACTGATGTCTCCCCTGAGCTAAGCATGGCCCAGTACAGGTTCAAATAATTAAAAACTGGGTTTCTAGCACGTACAGTTGAAAAAGGGTAGGATGCTTAAACACCCAAACCAGAGTCTCTCTGCTCAGGTCCAATAAAAGGTACGAAGAATAAGAAGAGGGAGCAGCGCCTTGATAGGTTTCTGAGGTAGATGCATTCTCAGAGGTAGATGATATGTGGAGACAGAAAGGTACAGCAGAATATAGTATAGTTTGTCCCACATACAATGACAAAATATGAAGTAAAAACACACTCACATATTTAGGAGCTAAGATTGCTCTATATTGATTCGCTACGGAGGTACAATCCCCTCCTAGGGATATTTGGTGTGTTCTGTCAGTTAAAATGCTTATGTGCAGGAGACCTCTGACCTGGAATAGTGGTTCAAGATGAGTTATACCCGCCACAGGGTCTCACAGGCTTCCACTTCTCCTTCTATGGCCTAATGCATGGCTGTGCTGATTGGCTGGGGTGCTCAGTAACTTTAATTTCATTTGCAGCTAAAATGAAGTGCTGGGGAACAGATCTGTGCACCACACCCCTTCCTGGTTCTAAGCCATCATGGCTGGGCGGGATTGCATTAGAATCTAATGTCTGTCCTGTATGTGCTTGGTGCCAGTAAGGGCCGGCCCAAGACATTGTGCTGCCAGGGTCCAAGGATGAAATGCTGCCCCTCCCCTCCCCCACCAAAAAAAGCTCCAATGTATACTTCTGCAATAATAGTGTATCTATGTGGGTGTGCTGGCGATAAAGTGTGTGCCTGTGTGTGTACTGGGGATGTAGTGTATCTGTTTGTGTGCTGAGGATGTAGTATATGTCTGTGTATGCTGGGGATGTAGCTTGTTTCTGTGTGTGCACAGCAGCCAATACACTTACCTATACACTGTGTCTGTGTATATGCATGTGTGTCACTGTTTGTATCTGTGTGTCTGTATCTGTATGTGTGTCAGTGATTTTATCTGTTTGTCTGTGTATCTACATGTGTGGCAATGTTTGTGTCTGTGTTTCTGTATATCGGCATGTGTATCAGTATGTGTGTCTGTGCATCTGCATGTGTGTCAGTATATGTATCAAAAACTGACACACATACAGATGTACAGACACACTGATATGCCTGCAGATACACAGACATACACACAGACACATACAGACACTGACACATACAGATGCACACACCGCCACAAATGCAGATACACAGACATACAGATACACATTCCACACATAGAGTATACACAAACTACACACATACAGACACACACACTACACATACACAGATACTACGCACACTATACACAGATACACACACTACACATACACGGATACTATGCACACACCCAAT